AATTGTCGATTCTATCGGCAGCCAGTTTGCCGAATCTGTAGAATCAGCATTTCGTCACTGATTTAGAAAATTGGACGTTAGAGGTAGAGTTAGAACATAAATCCACAGTTAGAGTTAGAAAAGGTTAGGTCAAGTTCGGTCAAGTTCCTTTATATTTAAATATTAAAAAAATTGCTCACTGACCTAACCCCAGATTCCTTTTGTATAGGAATGCTGATTCTACAGATTCGGCAAACGTGCTGCTGATTCCATAGAATCGACCATTCCGCTATTTCGGCACGACATATGTAATTAAAAAAAGTAATTTGTAACATATAATTTACGAAAATATCACGGCAAGATAAAGTTACGTCTCACCTTGAAGTATTGAAAGGATACATCGCTCGAGTTCAAAATAGCGCCATAGGCTTTGTCCGCAAATTCGATGTGGTATTTTGGCAGCAGGTAACTGAAAACATGCAAATTCAATGTAGAATTCTGGCAAGAGCTACTATGCAACATATGCTGATCAGTGTTAACTCTTTCTTAATCAAGACAAATGTAGTGTCGAAGGCATTGCCTATGTTATCGAGCTTTGAAACATCACTTAGAATATGTGAGAGCGAGATATATTAGTGAAAAACCCAATCATTAGTGGGAATATGTTCGGGAAAATACAACTCTGTTAAAATCTGGTTTAATGGCCACCATCTATTTCAAAATTGGGATTGAGAATTTCTTTATTCTTGACGCACCTGAGATCGTCGTTCCAGGTTTCCATTTTGACGATATATTCGTAGCTCAGGTCACACACTTGACAGTTGAGAAAAAACGGACGCCAGTGCGAGTTGAACGACTCGTACGCGGCAGCGTCAGCCAGAACGGGAACTTTCACTGTATCTATCAAGTACTCCGCAAAGTCCTTGAAAAGTGGCATTGGCGGCAACCTCTCTTTTTGTACAATGCATTTCCTAGTGAAAAGGTAATGTTATATTTAATACTTCCTCTGCATGCCATCTGCACAAAAAGAACATGAACAGATATCTTCCAGTTTTATCTCAGGAACTTTCAATTTTAATATTTAAAATTTCGATTCGATTGTAAAACAGAGTTTATATGAGTAAAAGTATAGCGCAAACAGGAGATTTAGTCGCTTGCAAAATCGTGCAGTGCCAATCACGTCCTGGTACTCAGCATTGAGCCAAAGACGGAGGATGGCAACGTTGCCGTATGTTTATATGAATTTATAACTGTGTGGGTGCGGTGCTACGAGAAAAAACCGTAGGATAGAAGAGGTGAGGCGGCAGATGGTGCCCAGAAAAATGAAGAAGAAAATGAAATGTTAGAAAGCAGACTAAAAGTTGGTACGTGCATTCTTTGATTTATGTTAGATGCTTGAGTTGGTCAGTTATGAATTGGAGTTGACTAGGGCGGGGAATGCTAATGAAATTGCACGGTTGAGTGCTTTTTCTTTTTTTTTTCTTACAGATTTATTATACTAATTAATACTAGGAATGACGAATGATAGCAGGATAGAGACACAATTGGGGCTCAGCGTTTTGATGCCTTTCTCGTTGGTCAGTTTCAATTCAAGTAATTGTCTATCGCCATTGCTGTGAACTCGTTTCGGTAGCCCCTCGTAGAGATGCGATTTTTATTATATTTGTGGTTAGGTATACAAGGATTGGGTTCGGGGACCCAATACGAGAATATTTGAATTGGTTGTGCTGATTCACGATGGCATTTGAGAGAAATTTAAGAGTGAGTTGGAAGGTTGAAGAGATGAGGGCGATGTGATTTGATGATCAACCAGATTTGTTGAGCTCCTTTGTTTAAGACTGCGAGCACGACAAGATGTTGCATCTTTTATGTAGAGCCCACAAAGATTTAAAATGAGACTCGTGTGTATCAGTGCTGACGAGTAGTGCTTTGTTTTTATTTTGGACTTTTTTTAAATAGCGGATAAATAATTTTGGATTTTATGTGTAATATTACTGTGAGTTTATGAAGAAAGATCTGACTACGGCTGAGGATATTATGTCGAGTTGGATGAGGTTCAATCTGTGTATTTTGTACAAATTTGTGAGTGCATTCATTTTTCGTGCTATTCAGGAACAAAAACCGAATGACATAAGTTTCAATCTAGAATTGCTCAAGTGTTTTGTGTATTGGCAGAATATATTTTTCTTTGCAATTGGGATTTTTTAAGCTTAGGGACGTTGCCCTTAATAAATTTGTTTTCTAATTTGTTTAATTGTTTTCTTCTGACTTGTTTTCTTTTGTTACATGACCGGTTATATTCCCAGCGTTCGGCAGTACATTCTAGTAGTTATTTGAGAAATTTAACCAATTGTTGTATTGTTTGTGTTTGTTAGTGAGGATACAATGTCGTGAGTGCAGAAGCTATACAGGGAAGGGGTTCTGGCTGAAGCAACCGCAACATGAGGTAGCATACGGGAGGAAGCAGATGATGACGTAGGTATACAAAGAAGGTGAAGTAAACTGAGTAGTATAATGATAAGAAAAAGGGCGCGGAAACAACAATGCAACTAATTATAAACATCGTCCTCACCTGCCCCTCGTAAACATCGTCCTCACCTGCCCCTCGTAAACATCGTCCTCACCTGCCCCTCGTAGGTATGGTCCTCACCCTCCTCTCATAAACATCGTCCTCACCTGCCTCTCGTAAACATTGTCCTCACCTGCCCCTCGTAAATATCGTCCTCACCTGCCTCTCATAAACATCGTCCTCACCTGCCTCTCATAAACATTGTCCTCACCTGCCCCTCGTAAATATCGTCCTCACCTGCCTCTCGTAAACATTGTCCTCACCTGCCTCTCGTAAACATTGTCCTCACCTGCCCCTCGTAAACATTGTCCTCACCTGCCCCTCGTAAACATTGTCCTCACCTGCCTCTCGTAAATATCGTCCTCACCTGCCTTTCGTAAACATTGTCCTCACCTGCCTCTCGTAAACATTGTCCTCACCTGCCCCTCGTAAATATCGTCCTCACCTGCCCCTCGTAAATATCGTCCTCACCTGCCTCTCGTAAACATTGTCCTCACCTGCCTCTCGTAAACATTGTCCTCACCTGCTCCTCGTAAATATCGTCCTCACCTGCCCCTCGTAAANAATTCTTACCCTTAACGACGGCTGAAGACCGAACGATCAGTTTATGCGTTGGAGGATTACAGGGAAAATTGACACCGAAAATTATAAAATGATAATAACAAGTAAGCGAGTTACCGGTAATGTACAATCGTCTACTTGAAGTCTCCGAACCTGTCTCTTATACACATCTAGATGTGTATAAGAGACAGAGATAACGTAGAGCATTAAAAAGGCGTTACACTAGAAATACAGCAATGATGGTGTTAGGGATTGGATAGAATGTATATTTGTCATTTTGTATTAGAGAGAGTTTGACGTGACCTTGACCGAATAGCGGAACCTGATTTAGTCTTGTGTTTGTCGTCGATGTGAAAGGTACGTCACGTGTAAATAGGAACAGTGGATGCTAGGTTTACTATCGTTTGTCTTGCGTGCAATTTGTGTGATTTTTTCGTCATTTGTGTCATTTTTAATGCTTAGACTTCGTGCTTCTGATTACGATCAATATTTATGTTTATGTCGATTCATTGCTAGATATTTATTCTCGTTTTTTTTAGTAATTTTCAGGAGTCTCAGTAATAGTCTCGATTCAAGTAATCATCTCAGTAATAGGCCTGCTTCAAGAGACCATCTCAGTAATAGTCTCAGTAACAGTTCAATTTCAAGTCATTAGTTCCCGGTGTACATACATGTCAATAAAGATTATTAAGAAACCTTGTTCTCACGGTGGCTAATGGATGGACCTATACGATCATTTAGCTGAACAATGCAAGGACGAAGATGGCTTTATTTTCCTTTTTGCTGGAGTGCGTCCCTAGCAATGGACACAATAATGATAATAGTGATGCGGCTCGCGACTAGCTATAAACAGTCTACTCCCGAAGACAGTTCGGTTAGTTTATTTTTTTATTCAGTTGTCTTTCGAGGAGTGCGGCGGCTTGAAACCTAGAACGCAAACCGCGGCCAATATCTGGCCCGCTACACAAGGACTGCAGGAAATAAAAGGAATATACAATGCAAATGCACAATTTTTTAATGCAAATAGCGCAATTTATCTGCAAATATTTCTTTACAAATGTTAATGGGAGTTCTATGCATCGTATGCTTTACGCAGGCACGATTATTAAGGCAATGGTTTGTTATGTTCTGTGTCCATGTAAAATTGTAAATAAAATGAAACCAGGCATGCTCACTAACTCCGAACCGGTGACAACAGCTGATTTGTTTATTTAAAGTATACATTTTCATTATTAAAGCATAGGACTATCTAAGCAACATTCATGTAGCTGAAAGACCTGTAAAAGAAGATGTAGATATTAGATAAGTATCCAAACACATACCCAAGCATTGGATACATAAGTGAAGTATTCAAGGCGCATCTAGTCACTAGTAATTTTCGAAAAATAAAATTTGTCACTGCGATGATGTCTAACTTATGAACGCAGCTGTTCAATTTTTCATTTATAATCGATTAGATCTGCAGGCGACTGCAGAACTCAATCCATGATCACTGGACACTGAAGGTGAAACTTTCTTCCCGAAAATAGGTCCTTAATGTATATGTTTTTATCCGCTCTGACATCATAAAATCAGGATCAAATTGGCTCAGTTCGCATACATAGGCATCGTTGTTATATGATGATAAACAAAATGGTAACGATACTTTATTCTGCTCCTTTTGCTTGAATATTGTTCATCGTCGATAATTATTGCGAGAAAACGGTAGCTGCATATCAAGTTTACTTCAATTATTAGGCGCATGTTGTTGCCTGTTCAAAATATGACATTTGCGGAGAGCGTAATTTTTCCTTTTTTATTTCTTCACATTTAAAATGGATATATACTTCATTCGGTTCATATAGTCATGGAATAGACTTTCGCTGATCCAATTTGGTCAGGAAATTCTGAGCCGAAAAGAAACTCTTCACCCAAACCCTCGTTAATGAACTGTATAAATAAAACATAAGTTGGTTTATGCTTACAATGAGCATTTACTTGACTTTAATTACCTTGAATTATCAACCAGGTTAACTCAACTGAGTGTTAAATATATAATCATTGACAGATTTCTCTAGATTGGTCAGCCCTCGAATTTTATCTATTTCTTTGACGTTCGTGAGGTGCTGTAAACTGCTGTATTATGAGGTGTAACTGCTCTATTATAGAATTATAATATCCACATACTGTCAAAATTAACTGTAAAAGCTGTATTGGCTAGTTTTGCGTGTCATGCACTAAATGCCATGAGCCTCGATCGTGACGGTCATGCCTCGTCAAGACAATAAAAAGGGCCGCGGAAGCGTAAACTTTCCACAAGCAGTCCGTCGTCTCCATGACCACCGACACCATCCCTTCTTCTTAAGAACGTGTACAATAATATTGCTTTCATCCTCAATAGGCTTACATTTGAGTGAAGGAAAAATCCATGACTAGAAGTTCCCCAACAATCAGAAGTAGCTCGGGTATTGATCTATATCATGGCCCAAAATAACAGCAGTTCGCGGATCAGGGATACAGTAAAGACAGAATCTGATTGAAATGCATTCCATATATTCCTTTTTCATCATGGAATTCATTCCTTGATAAATTCAAATATTAATTCTATTCATTTCTTTTTTATCAAGATTTGAAAAAATTAAAGATCAAATTCATAAGTTGGATAAAATAATTCTGTACACACAATAATGCCGTCTCATCACATACCTCATTCAAAATTTATGCGTGTCTTAGAAACATAAGTCGGCAAATAATTGCCCTAAATAAGCACTTCTGTTCCAGTTTATAAGTGTTGTACGATTTTTGAATGCGATGACCGACCCTCAGTTGATGAAAATAGGATAACAGACAACAGGAATAGACACATCATATGCAAGCGGATAGCTTCATATTATTGATAA